ACAGAATAAAAAAAAGATACAGTCAATAACTTCTATGTGTAGTGTTATTTTTTTAAAGGTTGTTTTTGCGATTAAAATAAAAATAATACAATTATTTAATTAATACAAAACATTTATATTTTAGTCTTGAAGATATTAGAAAAAGCACTTCAGCATTGTGTTTTAATAAGCTAATGGTTTGAGTTATTTCTAAAATTGCTACCTATCAATAGCTATCAATGTCAACTGTCAAATTTATAATAATAAAAAAAAATTAAACAGAATAACAATGAAAAGATAGGCATTTGTCATATATAATAGTACAATGCCATGTGGGGTATCCAGTCAGCTAACTGCATCTGCACTGACAGACTTCCTGTTTTCATCTGTCTCACTTTGACTTGCTTTACACATCTCTCTCTCTCTCTCTCTCTCTCTCTCTCTCTCTCTCTCTCTCTCTCTCTCTCTCTCTCTCTGTAGGAGCCTGACAGACGGAGGGTTAGGGATTTTTCTGCATTTTTCCTAATGTTAGCCTGGACTGCTGCAGACGTTCATTTGGGTTCCCCTCTGCACTGTTATGTACTGCTGCATGTACAGCATCTTAAAGAAGCATTTCCATGTGTTATTCCTTCAGTTCTGGGCAGTCACCGGTGTCCATTCATTTCTGCGCAGACTTAATTCTGTGATAATGAAGGTTAATCGAGATTGATTGATTCATTGATTTGAAAAGTCTTCAAAGGTGATCACAGTGAGGGATTAAGTATGTCTCAAGGGCTTGCTAATTGAATTGTGTATTATACAGCAAAGAATGGAAACTATGGAAACACCTGGAACAGCAGACAACATGCATCCAAACACATCATTTATTTTTCTGTGTGGTATTCTGTTGCTCTTTAGTTGTGGGATCATTGTTCAATCTAAAAAATACCAATATGTTTCCACTTATGATTCATATCAGTGGATGGTAGGCTACAACAAATCCTGGCTTTTTACTTAAAAACTGTTGCTGGAATAAATATTTCCACCTGTGGTCAGCTGTACTTATAGAGAATAACTATGGATAGATGGAGGAGGGAGACACCTATAGGTGATTATAAAAGCCCAAAGATACACTGCAGGGTAGTTAATTGGACTAAATGGTCAAAACAGAACTAAATGCTGTTTTAAATAGAAAGAATAATTAGAATAACAATAGAATGCCAAAAGTTTCTTTCTTGTGATAATTAGGGTTAGGGTTAGGGTTAGGATTAGGGTTAGGGTTGGTTATGTTACGAAAACAACCAGTTGCTTAGATACCAAGATAACCTGCTATCATAAGAAAAGGACTGTTATCCTGAGAGAACCGGATATTTAACATGTGATCAAGGTTAACGAGCAAACATGTTCACTGAATCTACAGAGAATAGCTTTTTGTCATATTTGCTGATACTTTCACTATATCCTGACAGTAGAACATGAGACAGATAATCTGTGGGAAAATCAGGTTCCTCTGGCTCCTCCTAGTGCTCCTAATGGCATTTTCAAGAATCCACGGGCCTGAACAACAACAACCAAGAAAGCCACAGCCAAGAACGATAGAAAGAGGATCTCATTACCAATGTCAGTATTTGACAATCTGGGAATGAAACTCAGCAATAAACTCTCTTTGTTGGCTCTGATTGGTTGTTTTCGTTCAGGCCTGGTGGATTTTTCAAATGTCTCTGTGCTGGTATCGGCATTGTTTCCCTTACACAGTAAAACATTTAGCAACCGAATGAATAGATAACAACCAAAACAGAGTTAAAAGATATATATATAAACACAACTCGAAATGAGAGAAAATGCTTTTCATTGTCTGCGGTGTAAGTTTGCTATCACATTTGCTATATCAGCTGAAACTAAGAAGTCTTCAAGATTTCCTTACATGTTTAAATAAAAATAATTAGATTTCCTCTCAGCTGACTGTTGATGAACACTGAATCAGAATAAGGGAATGTGTGTTTAAGGTTGAGGGAAAGCTGTATTTCTCTTTTCTTGATGCACTTCAGCGTCCATCATGTCTAGCTGTGTTTGCTCTTGAAACTGCTCACAGGGTTAATCCTTGACATGAATTTGAATCTACTCCAGTGGAATCAAGTATGCATGACACATTGCCGCTCCGTGCGCAGACAGAATGCACTCTGAGAGTATGTTTTGTGTCATTTTCAAGAACCAGCCAAGACATAACTTCCTGTAATCAGCCCTTGCACGAAAAATCTGTTTATTACAGAAGAGGGAGACATCAGCCGAAGGTGGAAAAATACATACGATCCCTAATGTAGACAAGATGAGAGCAGGGCTTTCCAACTGGCACTGCAGTCTGTCTGTCTGTTAGCAGGAGGAGAGAAGCAAGTGTAAAATGCACACTGACAGAGGAATGCTACATTTTCTTCCTTGGGCTGTACAGAGGAGAGAGGGAACTGCAACCAAACTTGTGTTACCAGTATGTCTTGGTAGACTTTTGTCTTTAGCTCACGGTACTTTATAAACCCGAAAAGCCTTGCTGATATGTGACTTGAGATGATCTGTGGAGTTTATGCACAAAACACACTGCATACTGCATTTATGTTAGCTATTCCTTAAGGGACTATATCATTGTTTTTGCAAGTGTATGCTATAAATCATACATACTGTACATTACAGAAGCATAAAGAGTCAAAGCCCACTGAGCTCTAAATGGAATTTTAATGTTGAAAACTGGGTGATATTTGGTCTGAATGTCTAAGACATCTATTCAACCAGCTACAATGCGGTTACAACATCAGCGTGTCACAGAACACAAATTTGTTCAGTTGTAGGTTGACAGAGAGACACTACTGGTTAGTATGAAGGTATTTCTCCAAAGTCACATTAAGACTTAATGTCAGCACATTTAATCTTTCATATAAAATGTCAGACATATTGAACGATATAGGGCAGGCTGTGGGATGCCAACAAGAAGTTTCCAGGACATCATGACGGAGAAAGTTCTGTACATTAATGTAAAATCTAAAATTCTGATTACTGCTGTAACACGCATGTACTTAGTCAGCCTTTTAAAAGGCCTTAAGAAGTCAGGTAAAGTCACTATTGGCAGGAAGATGAGTGAGTTAAATGCAGGGTCTCCCTTCAGGATTCTATGGTTTGAGTCCCATGTGAGGCAAGTTTTTATATTTACACTGGCTATTAACTGAGAAATTTGGATGGGGTTTTTGGCTCCAGAGTGACCATAGACAATTTTTTGAACATTGTACAGGATGAAAATTTTCACTATTGAAAATCCCAGTGAAAAATGGTCTAAATATGAACATCCAATCAACGTCTTCAGATATTTGTTGAAAAACCTTTGTACATCTTTTCGCCGATGACCAGTTGATTTATGATCTTTTCCTAATTCTAACCAAGTAGTTTTTGTTCCTTAACCTGAGCAAACTGCAACCTTATTTTGAAAGTCTAACCGGGTGTTGCATATTTATTATTGCTAACTTGACTGCAGAGTCCTATGGGCCACTCGTAATTATGACTTAGATGTTGAGCGCTGTTTCCAAGTCAGAGCCTGGTAATTACCATAACTCCAATATGACATGAACTTACAATAACCTGCACAGGGTTTGTGTTTGTCAAAGGTTTATAAAAGCAGAAATAAATAACAATATCTCTCATGCGGTCACAAGTTTTCCTTTTTTTGTTTTAATTGGTTGCCAACTTTAACAGGGTGGGTCTTGGGTAATATAAGTGGCCATGAGGGCAGATAGAGATTAGAGATGTGATAACACTCAACCCTGAAGTATTTTGCTTTAGTTTCTTTTTTGGGCATTTCACTTTATGTACAGGACTGTATGGAGAGACAGGAAAGTCAGGGGGGAGAGAGGGGATGACATGCAGCAATTGTCCTCGGGCCAGACTGGAACCCGGGCTTCTGCGGTGAGGACATAGCCTTGACATGTCATATGGGGTGCACTCTGACACTATACTACACTTATGGAATGAACTGCATGTTCATGATTTTGAACAATTGAGACTTTAAATTAAATTACAATCCATCACAGTGAACATCATGTTCACTTTTTTTGTTGCTGGTTACTGTTACATGGTTTTGCAGTTGTGAATGACTGACTGGTGGTTGGATTTGAAAGGCCTGCACTGCATTACCCCGTAAACCAAGCAAAACAATAAAAAAGGTTTCCATTCAACCAACGGCTGCCTGGAAGGTCTGAAAAGAAATCTAAAATGCTATGGTATGTTTTTGAAAATGTTTGTAATAAAAGGGCAGAAAACAATGGTATTGTCCTCCATAATAGTTCCATGCAGTGGCAGACTCAGGCTGTGTGAGGGGCCGGGGTGGAAAAACATAAAAAGGGCACCAGGGTGCAGAAAGTTATGGTGAAACAGATTAGTCATGGTAGGATTGACACCCTAGAGGGAACTTTAACAGGTTTTATCTACCATATGGGCATCCAGGGGCAATCCCTGCCTCCTGCTCCTTCTTTGAGTCCACCAGCAGCAAGGACCACGGAACCGGTAAGGATGGAGGGCTACCAACTTTTCAAAATCAAACATGCAAAAAAATAAAAATCTACCAAAGAATTTTAGTTTATCTTTTTGTATGTTTGATTCTGAAAAGTTGGTAGGGCTCCAGCCCTCCATCCTTACCAGTTCCAGTAATATATATATATAACATACTCTGTGACCACAGCCTACGACAAAGCAATACATTGTAAATCATGTGATGTAAATAAAATATTTCCCATTCAAAATTGGTGGCCTCGCTGCCCTGCCCCCTGAAACTGCAGTGCTGATGGACCTGACCAATTTGAATGGCATTCTGCGGTCCATGACCAGCGGTTCCATATACAGTGGCATTACCCTTTAGGAACAAAATGTGTTAGTGGACAGAACATCGGCACTCTGCCTGTCATCAAGGCAGCACCCATGGCCTTGATGAAAATTATGTGTCAGAAATTGGACTAGGGAACAGGTGATATTGTCATACAGTGTCAAAGTCAGAGCCCCACAAACACATCTGAAGCATTAATAAATTTTATTTCAGGTAAAACAACATTAAACAACATTTACAGAAGGACATTACATCTTCCATAATAACATTACATACAGGTTGTAACAAATAATGCAACAGCTATTCTACTGTATACTATATTGTTTCACTTGATGAAGTGACTGACGACACTTCTGTTTTCCAAACCACTTGTGAAAATGATGTATTTTCAGTGCAGCATACGAAAAAGAAAAAACTAAACGCAAGAGAAGCGCTGTTGAAAAAAGTTGCAAACACAGACTCATTGTTCAGCACAGCGAGGATGCACATTGGATCCAACCTATATGGGTTTTTTTTTCTACCGATACCACTTCTGTCCACACGATAAAGAATGCCAAAAATAGATGCCTTATATTTATATTCATCATATATGTCTATTCACATATGATTTCTCTTTAAGGGGACATTTGCAACCCTGTTTAGAAACATAGTGGAAGCATCACCATTTCACTTCACTTATCCATTTCCACCTTTGACATTTCTGTTGATATTATTTCTCCTGTTTCCCGTCACAGTGCTAAATGTGCAATTCCACCTTTCCTTCTCTGGACTTTATTTTAAATATATGAAGAACATTCAAGTTTGAACAGAGTGCCCTCAGGAATTCTGCCCACACAGGACTCAAAAATATACGTTTTTTTGTACAAGACTGCAGGCTGCCAAGGCTCCACAGAAGTGTGTTGAGGGGGAAACGAAAGTGATGTGAGCCACGCCAAAAGTGTGCACAAGGAGAAACATCCCAAAAATAATTATTCAGCTACTAATGCTGCCTGCAATCCCTTAAAGCCACATGAGGCTGGGCAATCTCAGCACAGCTCGATGGTATTAACCCTCTTCTGTCACGCCGCTTTACTGGCATTACCCACCCCCTCTCCTCCCCTTTCTCTCCGCCGCACAATCACAGCCTGGGGATGACACTGAAAAGCCGCGAGATAATTTCAAGTACAGCGTTTCTGCGAGCTCTCCTCAATCTGTGGTAAAGATTCAAAATGAGGGATGATATTTACATTTGTTAGAAGGTTCGAGTTTGCTTTGCGTCAGGAAAAGCAAGGTGTGTATGTGTATATATATATATACACATTAAGGGCAAAGCAAGTGCATAAAAGTGACCATACAGGCTGGAATGTAGGGCAAACTGATTTTTCTTTAAAGTGCATTTTCAAAACGCTATTGGGGAGAGTCTAGCCCATAATTACTTATTTTGCCTCAGAGCCACTACTGTCTATGGTCGAAAAAGCTGGACTGGAACACAGTCATGGTAAAATGTCAAAGCGCTATAAGACTCCAAATCCTTCTTTCATTGCTTTTCCTCAAGGATAGGTTCAGATATTTTCAAGTCTATCTCAACTCAGCGTGTACATGTACATCGCATGTATGATGAAACAGTTATGGGTTGCTGTGATCATCCCTCCTGTCTATGCTGTTTGTGAAGCAATGCCTTGTCAAGTGACTACATTGTAAAACATGGGGGACAAAAACCACAGTACTTGTTCTTTGCAAAATTAATTCCAAAGTTCAGTTGGAGCTAATATTCAGCAGTCTCCATCCAAGTGTAACACAAATGTCCAAATAATCGGCACAGAAAATGTGTCATTTCATAAATTCATTCATTCCAGTGGAAGTAAAGCTTCAGTACATCCTGATTTATTGGCTAAGTATGTTTCTGTTGCACTTTTTGGTTTTGTCCATACATCAATTTTTTCACCTCATGCAAGCTTAACAGCTTAGATGCACTATTTAAGCTTTTTTTTCCTGAATTTCCAATCTTTCCACTCAGGTTTATTAATGAGTCTACACAATGTGTAGACTGTATATATGCATAAAAACAAGGAGATGGTAGTTCGCCAAATCCAGCAGGTATTCAAGGACGTCTGTTTTTTATTCTAGGAAGTCTTTTTTTTATATAAAAGTCTGTCTCTGCAACCCAAGTGACTGTTTTTTAGTCAGGACAGAGACATACTTTTAATTGCATACTGCACTTGATTTGGATAAGTCAGCCTCCATTTATGTCCTGTCCAGTTGCTCCCAATCAGCCAACCTATAGTAATTAGGTGGTTTTTGACCACAAGAAGACAGAAAACACACAAACAACATTGCAACAATGAGCCTTGATAAACTTATGACGTTTTTAACAACAACTGTTGGCTTACATTTCCAGCAACAAAACAACTTGGACATCCAATCCCAACCAGGTCCAGTAGTGCTTGTCATTTAAGCTCTTGAGAAATATAGCTGTCAATTAACAGCAATTAACAACTCGAATCAGCTAACTCATACTGCTAAATTATTGGCTACAGTTGAACTTCAGAATTAATTTTGGCTCGTAGCCATTTCTTGCACTGCAGTCACTCTATGACAGTATCACTCCATGGCTAGAATGGAGAAGAGCGAGGATGAAAAAATCCAAACCTTTCTTGAATGTGACCGACTGCAAAACAAATACCAGCTGGAGGGGGGCATGGAGGGGCTGCAGGTTTATACTGTACTGTAGCTGATAGGACTAGATGGGTGTGGGAAGTTTATCCTAGCAGGCAAGACATCTATATTAAAGATTGAGTGTGTGTGTGTGTGTGTGTGTGTGTGTGTGTGTGTGTGTGTGTGTGTGTGAGGGTGAGTGACAGAGAGAGTGTGTTTAAGAGGCAGTGCAGTGACATAAGTATCCATAGGTTCCAATTCTCCATGGCGTCACATTAGCAGCCTTGTCTCCTCAGCTAATCAACAGTGCAGGGCCAATATTATTGTTTCAGTCGATTTCAAACTGATCAAGATCGAAGAGGAAGCCATTGTATTGATAGTACTTCACAATTATTACCATACGTCTAAGCTGTAATATTCAGATATCTTCACACAAAACATCAAAAGAAAGACCAAAAAAACTGTATAAAATTCTTTGCAGATGACACTTCATTATACAGCTGATCTCGTCATGGTGTCATAAAAAGTTCCAAAACATTTAGAACATGTAGGATGTTGAGGGGCACACATACAGGGGAAGTCTCATGCAGAGCATGAGAGCACATGTTGGTGGTGAAGGGACTGATCAAAGTTAATAACCACCTACAGTACATGTTGTACACACACTACCACACACTGCAAAGCACTCATCCCTACACTTGCTTAATTTGTCCGATAAGAAAAGCTCCAGATCAATCTTAACATGAACACAAAGTTACAGTTATTGATGCAGATCATCTGTTTCTGACAGAATATTGCAGGTCTTGTGATGGTATCAGATAAAGTGAAAGGGAGGATTGTCGTGGGCCGGATCAAACAATAGGCCACACAGCCTATTGCCTTGGTGTTTTACCTTTTGTACATTAGCTCATGTGCATGGATGGAAGCACTGATGCTTAGCTATTGCCCATGTTTTATACACACGCACACTTGCACACACACACACACACACACACACACACACACACACACACACACACACACACACACACACAAACATACAGCTATTGTCAATTACAATATTGCGTCGTATTATTTTTACACACACTAGTTGATGGTGTCCCTGGGTGTCTTATGTGTGCACCGTCAACATCTCCAGCAGAGATCATTTATGTTAGAGAGGCTTTTCAGTTGCAACACAAAACTCAAATCAAGCAGGACTGGTTCCATCATGGAGGTCCATTTAAAAAAGTAAACAACACTCGTTATTATCAGTATTTTTCTACAACCAGGATCTTAGATATTCAGTTTTGGCCATCATTCTTACGATAACATTTTACTCACAAACAAATATTTATAGCATATTTCTAACTGTGAAAACAAGGTCAAATGTGAGCATCATTAGCCAGTGACTGTATAACTGGATACCAGACTTCCAGATGGCGCACAGCGCATGGGCCGACATGTTTTATCTTTTTAGTTTTTTACATATCGTGGGACCCACTGTACATGTGCATTAGTGTCTCTTTCCTTGAGCCCAGTGACCAGTCTTATACACTTTATACTACTTTATACTACTACTACTACTACTACTACTACTACTACTACTACTACTACTACTACTTCTTCTTCTTCTACTGGTAAAGTTTGACAAAAATGACCAAACTCATAACACAAAGAACAAATATTTACCTTGCTGCAGGAGTTTGTGTGTCCTATATACTTTATAGCAGTATCCAACTTGGCCCCTGGGTGCATATAGCAGCATGGCTAAAGCTGGAATTGTTTTTCTGCAAAGATACATGTAAACGTTTCTGTAAACCTATGCAAAAACTGTTGCTACAGCAGGTTATTGTATTGCAGATGCTCTTAGAGAGACTGTTGTGCTCACTCCCAAATCTCAACAATGCATTGTGTGGATCTGCATGTAAAGCAAGCGGATTAGTTGATCCAAAATGTAGAAGAAATCTACTTACAGTTTTACACTGTATTCCCTAAATCTCAGCAGTGCTATTTGTGAGTGAAATATTCTGATAACTGATGAGAATGATGGTCAAAACTATGAAAAGAAGGCTGTGGAAAATGCAAGTGTGCAACCTTAACCCACCCAGGCTGGCAAACAAGGAAAGAGAGAAATATCTGACAAATGAATATGTCAATATACGCCTACTAATTTCTATTAACTACTACAACAATTAGATGTCCAACTAGATGTGCGCTTTAGTGTTTAAATCAGATTTGTTGAGACCAAAATGGTGACAGTCAACTGACAAATACCACAGTTAGTCAGCTGACAAGCATTATGTTACCACAAAACCAGCCACATGTACATGTTATGCATGACAAAATAAGTCCAACCTTTAAAGTAGATGCAAATTAACCATATCTTAACTGCTGAGTTGGCAGAGTTTAAAATAACACACCAACTGTTCTCAGCTACCAACGAACCCAGGACCTCCAATATGGCCCCCAGAGGATGTGTTACACCACCTGAAAGCCCTCCATTATTATTATCATTATTATAAATTGTCTGTGGTTCCACAAACTGAAGTTGAACCTGGTTAGAAATAAATGGAAAAGTCTTTAGTATTCATTTTTTTCCCCTTTAAACTGACTGCATTGTTTTTGTTTTATATATGTATTTTTCCTTGTATGCATGTCTCCTATGTGTGTGGGTGTGTGTGTGTGTGTGTGTGTGTGTGTGTGTGTGTGTTGTCTTGGCAAGAGCAGTATAGTGATGAGAGATGAAGCGATATTAAAATTGTCCATTATATAGTTTCTAGATGAGTATATCATACATACAAATATACATTCTTAAATAGGAGGCTAGTTACAAACACAAAACACAATATGTACCAATAGTAAAGTCCTTTTGTTTATACTGTGACAATGATATATGAGTTATTGGAACCTTATAAAAAGTAAACAAAATTTGCAAATGATAGCCTGAAATCTTAGGTACCGTTCATAATGCACACATGCATTCTTATCTATACTCAATGCTCGCTCTCTCTCTCTCATGCACACGCCACACACGCACACGCCACACACACACACACACACACACACACACACACACACACACACACACACACACACACACACACACACACACACACACACACATTGTGAAGGTAATAAATAAAGAGAACTGGGGCTCTTTCATTCGTCTGGATCCTCCTTCTCAGCATCTCTGTCTTCATCTTTTCTTCCAACAATCACCTGAAACACAAAGAGACATAGCACCCAATCTGTCAGTAACACGGTCCACAGTGCAGCTGGAAATCAACAGTTAGTTGACACAGTAGTGCCCCCCCCTCCCCCCAAGTGGGTATACTTTTATGTAAGTACTTATGTTTCATATTTCTGTCTGTCTGTCTCATCTTGAGACAAATTTTTTGTCTGACTTGTTTGTCCCAAACTCATTTTGGTCTCTGTGATTGCAGTCCATTGCAGAATTAGCTTATTTTCTGTCTGTCTGGATATTTCTGGATATTAAATGAAAAGATTGATACATGAGATATTGTGTCCGTATAGAGCTGGAATCGGGACATGATTAGCCTAGCTTAGCATAAAGACTGGGGGGTGGGATAAACAGCTAGCTTGGCCTCCAATGTGAAAACGTCCAGCTACAAACACTTAATCAACATGTTGTGTCCAATTTGTTCAAACCATACATTAAAGGAAATGTATTTATGTAATTTATATTATGTATAAATGATTTGTATCTAGAATTTGAAGGTTTAAAGTGAGTTTTGTGCTGTAGAGTAACTATTTCTTAATGAACATTTTTTTTCCTGAAGTCACTTTGGTACCATATTGTCTATAAAGAGCCCAAACCTGTGTTCAGAAACCACATGTAGCTACCTGTGCTGTAGCCAGGGACACTGCCGGGGCGGATGGATAAACTGTTCATCTCAAAATAGTTCCAGCAGGTAACTCTGTCTAAAACTACTAAATGTTTTTTACCCTTCCGTTTGTGTATTGATTAAACAAATGAGACACAACTAGTGAGCTTTAAATGTGTTGGTGAGTTTATTTTTTCACTTTGGACAGAGAAGCTAGCTAGCTAGCTGTATCCATGCTAAGGTAGGCTAACAACCTCCAGATCCAGCTGCATCGCGGGAATTGAACTGAAAAACTGAAAAAGACTTAAAACAGACATGAAACTGATGTTAATCCTCTAATCTCTTATCAGAAAGCAAATGTGGATTTCCCACAATATTCATCTATTCTAACTATATATGTCCAAATTATAAGAAATTCTAATAACTTCATCATATTCCATTTAACGTTATTGTATTGGTGGAGGGAGAAAACTCAAAACGTTCACAAATGAAACCATCGGCATGGCTAGATACCAGGTAATTGAAAAAATATGCTTTCATGTAATCTGAGTAAATTCAACCAACCATTCAAAAGTTTCTTATTTTCCTGACTTGGCCTTGACTATTTGACTGTATTTGGTTTTGCTTGGTCCTGGCTTTAGTCACCTAAATAAATTCAATGTAACTAACTAGCACACCTCCACAGTATTATATCTTGATGGTACAGTTGAAAGTAATATTGCAAAAACAGTTTGGAAAATATTTTAAGGGTCAGCCATGAAGAGGGAGAGGGGAGAACACTGAGAAGATAAAGACAAAGACAGAATGGAGGATTTAAGAGTAAGAGGAAGTGGAAGATGACCAACAGGGAGTAGAGGATGAAGAGGAGGAGAAGGAGGGAGTAAGAGATGAAACGGAAGGACTAGAGGATGCTGAGCAAGAGGGAGTAGAGGATAGGGAGAGTACAAGAGAAAGAGGAGGAGAGGATGAAGAGGAAGAGGGACTGGAGGAACAAGAGGAGGAGTGAGAAGAGAAAGAGGAGGAGGAGTAAAGGATGAAGAGGAGGAGGGAGCTGTGGACTATTAAATAATTCATGGCCTCCCTTAGGTCTCTTTCTACCCTGGCTTTCCTCTTTACCGCCTTATATTCTCTTCCTTTCTCCCTCTCTCTCTCGTTCTCTCTGTCTCTCTATGTCGTTCGCCCAGCCTTTGGTAGTCAGTTCCCAGTGGAAGCAGGCTGGTGTACGGCAGGAATCTCAAATGTTGGATGAGCGTCTCGTTTATCTGCTGCTCCTGTAGCTGTCTGACTCCAAACATACATACATTTTGTGTCTGTGTACATTCATTGATCTGAGAGCATATACATGTGCATATAAATGCTGAGTCCAGTATAAAATCAGTATCATATGAATCTTCTCTTTTTGTAACTGCAGGAGTCTGAAAGCAGGGCTGAGTTAACCTGCAACAGGGTGAAGGGGGAAAAACGGCCCCCTATCGAGGCAGCTTGTTGCAATCTAATATTTAGGAATATGCAACTAGTTACTGGAGGTCCTATATACTAAAAAGTAAAAGTTGTTAATACTGTCTCTTCAAGACAGGACCTATGCAGGAGCAACCCCATTCAATTTACATTGTTCTTTAGGGGTGCATATTACCAAACAAATCTGACATAAAACAAATTACCACACAGTAAACCCTGAGGTCTGGTGCACCAGGGCAGCTCTGTGAGGTTGGTTGTCTTTGACTACCAGTCAAGACTGAAGGAACATTTACATCCGTGTGATGCAGAGTTGTGACCAAGTCATCGTTTGCAAGTCACAAGAAAGTCTCAAGTCTGCTGCTGGCATTTAAAGAGAAACAAATACAACAACAAAAAAGCAACGGAAAAACAGCTTTAATGCCCTCGTGTGAAAAGTATATAATAAAGAAGAAAGTGAATGTTACAGTTTACATCTGGTCAGGTTATTTAACACATTTGTTCCTTCACTAAGTTCACTTCCTGGTGTCGTTTTATTTTTCTGCCCATTTGTAGCGTAATTAACTTCTTGGTTTTTGCTGTTTTGTTACTTTATTATTTTGGTTTGAAATGTGTCTTTATGGCCCCCCGTACACCCACACAGATTCTTCAGTTCTTCTGGCTGATTAGTCCTCCACTGAGTCTGAAGGCAGGTGGAATTATATGAGGTCACCAGACTGTAAAGGTGTGATTTCTCCTGCCCCAACAGATGGATCAAAGCTTACAGGAGAGTCCAGACATGTCCACTTACTATACAATATTTCCATAGCCACCTTAATTTAAGTGCCCATTTTGAACGGTATTCAATAAGCAGTCTCTTTTTGTTGCTTACTGCTGACAGCTTTCTGCAGGAAGACTTTTTAAGGAACATCTTGAGGCTTCTAGTTGAGTTTTCTAGATGCAGAAGCACAGGACAAACTAAAGGTTAACAGCTTGTCATGTGAAAACAGTTAAAAGCCACAGCTCATCTGTCAAGGTCAAGGTCACTGAAGCTCTGTACCTGTGTGTGTGTGTGTGTGTGTGTGTGTGTGTGTGTGTGTGTGTGTGTGTGTGTGTGTGTGTGAGAGAGAGAGGAGATATGGAGTGTCATCGCTCCTCACTTCACTGTCATACACTCTATAAGCCAACAAGGCATTCATTGTTTTAAAAGGATTTGATGTACTAAGAACAGATGTAGGCGTCTGCTCTCTTGGGATCAAAGAGCATGAAGTAGGTGTGTGTGTGTGTGTGTTTGTGTGTGTGTCAGAGGGTTCCACTTTGGAAGCAGATGGAGCTGGTGGGTGGGTTTTGTGGGGAGGATTTAGCAGGCGTGGCCAGCTGCTGGCTGTCCTTTAATAGAGACGGTCTCACCCTCCCCCTCAAAAATGAAATACTTGAACTGCTCAGTGTTGGGACGTGCAGCTACACAACAATAGAAAGAGGAGCAAATAGAAAAATGGGGAAATGAGTGAAACAGAAGAGAAAAGTAGTAGCAATTCACACTGGCTCGCATTATTCAAACCTGGAAGAAATAGCAATGTTTTTGGATAAAACACTGATAACTTTATTTATCTGTAATTTTGTAATTAATTTATTCCATTTTGTGTTATAGTACCCCCTAAAACACAAACCTGTGATAAAAACATACCTTTTTCCACAAGAAGTAGGGTTCTCAGTATGTCTGCGATTGTGCGTTTGGATGCGATTTAGAAAGATACTATTCAGTGAAGAGATGTTAAAGGTTTGGAGCATGCTTTACTCATATAGAGATGTGTTTGCAGATTAGCAGTTATTGCAGACTTTACTGCAGCAGTTGTTTGTGAGGAATTTGTTGAATTGGTTGGAATATTTGGATATGATGTGATATTCAGTGAGATCCATTTTATGAATTTATTTATCCATTGTATGTTATTTAGGGTTAGGGTTAGATGCTTTGTCTTGTTAGTCTACTGTGTATCTGACCAAAAATCTGACCTAAAGTATTAGACTTTCTTTCCTCTTATCCTCAACAGAAATGACTGACAGAAGTCTTAACTGTGCATGTCCTGCGGAGCCAGGCAGATTACTGCATTTTTTTATTAGATCATTTCAACTTTAAGGCCTCATCTTTCTCTAGCTTTTGCCGATTATAACCCACTCTGCTAAAAGAAAAGGCTTATTTTTATCTCGACTGAATGGCAGTATAAACCCACATTCCAGCTGCTATATGTCCCTTCGAGAACTTGTAGGTGATGTCACAGACACTAAGGTCATGTTTGGTTCAAGCACAGAGGACAGTTTTGGCTTTTTCTTGCAAATTATTAATCTGCACAGTAGCAATAAGATTGGAGAGAACTAACAAAGTAAAATAATGGATGCTGATGTGTGGATATGTGATACATTTACATTTGAAGCCAAACACTAATGTTTTTTAACCTTAAATAACAGACCAGAGTGGAAATCTGCTACATTAACTGGTCCAACCCCATGGACTCAGCAATCTCTACCTCCCTCCACTCTCTTTATCCTCCTCCTACCATGTTTTATCATAAATCATGTTTTCATTCCCAAGTTTCCAACAGGCACACTTCTCCCAATCAGCCAACCTTAATGCTTGATCTCTGATTGATCAAAGAACTGCCATTATCAGGGAACAGCACTTCAACCCTTGAACCCTTAATTGGCCCCTGGTGGGCAGCATGGAGGCTGCAGACAAACATTGTGCACTTGAGTAACCTGGATATTGTCTGGCTTTTTGCTGCAACCTTATTTCTGAATTTTGCAAACAACATGTGAGACTGAGGCTCTACACTGTTTCTCAAACCAGCTTGGTTGAATCAGACTGACAGACCTGCACCACCCACCCCCAACCACCAATACCCCCGAAGCCCAGGGTCACGACACTTGACCCCTCCCCCTGTA